GTTCATTGTGAAAAGTTTATCTGATGAATTTTAGCCACTTTCTCCCTGTTATATGAAACCAACTTTTTCTTATATATTGAGTGCATTTACAGTATTTACTGGTCTGCATTTTCATTGCAATCTCGGTCAACCACACACAGCTTTGTAGTTGTGTACACTTTGTTAGTTCCAGTTACAAATGTTTTTCCACATAAACTCTTGTCTGTCTCATTGGATGAACTGTGTTAGTGCTACATGACTGGCTCATGGATGGTTTTTGTGGGAAGAGGGGGAAATGCTTTCTTAAGTGTTCCACTCCAGTTTCAAATACAACACCCTATTTCATCTATTGGCCAAGTATATTTATTCAGTATATACCCATCTAAGTTTTCTGCTACTGCTTTTCCAATTCAACACAGGTATCTATTGTCACCAGAAATATAATTGTCTATACCAGTCATCAACCCAGAAGCCTAAGTGGGGTTTGGAGCCTGGAAGTTCCCTAGCAGAAGTTCCAGGGCAGAAAAGGGTCAGAGGCTGTTTTTTAAAAGGGAAATGCTGTCTAAGCAAGGAAACCACTTCAATGCCAGAAAGAGAAGGCCCAGCTGGAGAGAGTGGAAGTAAGAGGGAATTGGCCTCCCATAAGGTAGATAACCAAACCTGAGGATACACATGGCTTATAATGACACTGAGGGGGACTGCATTCAAGAGTTTGTTGTTTTCCATAGATCTTTAACTCTCTGTGCTTTTTAAGAGTAAAGTGTTTGTGGATAAGAAATTCCTTTGCAAGGCCTGTGTTTCCTTGCTTTATGCCATGTTGTCCCTGAAAAGTGCAACTAGAAAACTAGAGGTCCCACTGCCAAATGGATTTGGTGGGAGGGTTGGGGACAGGGCAGAGTGTGTCTAAGCAACTTGGGGGCTTGGGAGGGCTGTGGCACTGGTTCTAGTCATCTGGACTGCAGGGTCCCACTTCCCAAGAAGGCTGTCAGACACTGGCTCTGCACTTAGGAGTGAGCTTGAGAGACCCAGAGCTAGGAGTACTGATCAGTCACTATCCAGATTAAGGGGATTTAGAAGCACATGGGATTTAGTAGCTGGATCCTGTTAGGAATCAAGACATAGGCAGTCTGGCCTAGCAGTCAGAGCAGGAGTCTGGCCTAGCAGTTGAAGCAGGAGTCAGGAAATGGAATGGAGCGTCAGAAACTGGATGCCAAAGCCAAGAGTCAAGCAGAGTCAGAGCCAGAAATTGGAGCCAAGGGTCAGAGGCCGAATGCCCAAAGCCGAGAGCCGGGGTTGGAGCTGGGATTGATAGCTGATGGTCAGGAGTGAGGTGTAGGGGCAGGAACCAAAGATGAGGCAAGGATCAAGCACAAAACAGGAGCAAGGCAGGAAATGGGAGCAAAAGTTGGCTGCAGATCGTGGGGGACAGGCAAAGAGCAAAGTCCAATGCAGCAGCAACAGAGACTCTGTGCAGTTACTCAGACAGACCATCTGGGTCACTTCCTGGCTTAAGTAGCAGTGGGAGCCAATCAGGTGCCCCTAGATCTTGGGTATTCTGATAGGACTTCCTGTGGGATCTGAGAACCCCAGACTGGTGTGGTGCCTCTTCATTTGTCTCTCTTGGTAGCAACGAGGGAGTTTTGGAGACCCTGAGCCCCCAGAGCTCTGAGTTCTAAACCTGCCAAAAGATCCAGATCCAATCATCATGGACTGGTGTCCACTCAAAGAGTGGGACTGGACTGGGTTATAACAGGAGATATTAAGACAAATAGTGGTGCAAAATTTGGAAGCTCCCTTGGGGACAGAGAGCTTCTATCAATCACAGTAAGTTCCAAACTAAACAACCCCCTTCAAGAATAAGACTATTCATTCAGACACTATCTTTATAAACATTCCCTTTTAGGCCATGGATTATCTAGTTTTCTTTAACTCTAGAAAATAAATATTAATATATCTTTGGCTTCTGCTCACAGAACATTTATTAAGTCATAAAGCCAAACCCGTCTGACTTTGTAGGAGTTACATAGGGAAGAATTTCATCCAAATGTTTGTGGCACCCAAACTGACTATTCTGGAAGTGATTACAAGCCCAGAAAACTTTGTTTAGAAAAAATTGTTGAAGTTGCTAAGTGACAATTCAGTAACTTACAACATCATTTACAAAACCTAGATTCAAGCATAGAATGGAATAGTTAATAAATCTTACATTACTCACATGATTTAAAACAATGTTACTTGTTCCAGGAGGAGTGTAGAATTCATGGTGTCCTTAACAATTCATTTAAATGCTTTAAAGTGCTTGAGTTTTATAAATGCAGAAATGATATTCATGCTACTTAGCCACCTTATCCAGGGCAGGGTTGTTATTGTTTTTGTTTGTTTGTGTATTTGAGAATTTCACAGTTTTTTTTTTTTTAAATGGTGTGATGGTAAATGAAGACACAATTTATTTAAAATATTAAATAAATAGGAAGGAGAGATCACCTGATCTCTGATCACCTGATTATTAAATTGAAAGAATGAGTAGTACTGTCAAAGATGATAAAGGTAGCTAAGAAGCTTGTCTCATTCAAGCACATCTGGCAGGATGCAAGAGTTTTATATAAGTTCTTGTTAAGCCAGTCATGCGTTTACCACTGTGTGCAACTCAGCCTGCCTTTACTCCCAAGGTTGGTAGAAAGTGTAAAATAAACATACCAAAATGACTGAGCCCCATAATAAATTACACCTCTGCAGAGCCAAGACTGGAACACTGGCCCTTCAGCACCATAAGTCCAGGCCTCTAACTAAAAGTAAAACTCTGTTAACCGTCTAATAGAATAACGCCTTTATATTCTTTCTAAACAGCAACATAGTCATACACACACACGCATGTGTGTCACGCCCAACTCTGCTTCCCACTGAAATCAAGGGCAAAAAATTCTCATAGGTACTAATGGGATTAGGACAGGGGTGGGTAAACTATGGCCCGGGGGCCGCATCCAGCCCTTCAGTCATTTTATTCCGGCCCTTATTTGACTCTAACAAATTAAACATTTCTTAAAATTATAATTGTATTCGTTTTTGAGGTGATGAGAAATGGTGATTAGAATGACTGAAAGGAATTTACCTACTGATACTTATCTTTTCAGCACTGTCATTTTGTTTGTATTTTAGAGAAAAATATCAGCAATTTAGGGCATTGTTTCAATTCTAGCTCATTTCAGAAGTAGTTGGAAGTTGATATTTTGACAGCTGCTTGGTAGCCTATGTGAAATACACTGTACTCTCCATGACTTGTTCCTATTGATGTTGACCACAAAGCCTTGTTCAACAACAGCTCAAACTTGTGTTCTAAGTAGGGCTGGCTGGAAAACAAGAATTCCACCCTCCTGCACCCCTCCCCCAAAAAGGAGGTTAAAACTAGACCTTTCAAAAAGTTTTGTGAAAACAGTCCAGAATAGAGACGCACCTGGGATATGGGTGTTCCCGGTTCAAGTCCCCACTCCAAATCAAGCAGAGTGGGGACTTGAAACTGGGTGTCTTATATACGGAGTGCCCTAACCACTGGGCTATTGGCTGCTCTGGGAAGTCTCTCGGACTGATTTCAGTGGCGGTACAAAATTTAACATCATCTGAACAGTTTGCCCTACACTGAAATAATCCATGGTGTAACTTCATTGACTTCAATACCAGGGTGATTTTTTGTGTTGCCCAGATCCACAGATAGTTAAGGGATCCACCATTAGCTCTTACTGACATTAAATTTCTGATCTAGGTGTTAGGCAATCCGTAGTTGGAGACCAAGAGTGCATCTGGATCTTTCTCCTGATAAGGAAGCCCTCCGCTATAGTAGTGGTAATAACAAAAGTAGATTTGTGGATCTGCTGGAAAAACCCTATGATCCTCAAGCAGATCACAACTCATTTTTGTGAACTGTTTTGGTGCATTGTTACCTTTTTTAGATTGATCTAAATCTAAATTGGGTAAATTGGGAACCTGGAATTTGTATCATTTAAGGCTTTTTTAAGTCCAAGATTCATAGCTGCCAAAAAAAGGAGACACATGCTTAACATTAAAACTGAAAAGCAAATACATTCCATATACAGAAATAACATATAGGCCAGTGGTTTTCACACTTTTTTTCTGGGGACCCGGTTGAAGAAAATTGTTGATGCCTGCGACCCAATGGAGCTGGGGATGCGGGGTTTGGGGTGAGTGAGGGGCTCAGGGCTGGGGCAGAGGGTTGGGGTGCAGGGTGAGGGCTGCAGAGTGGGGCCAGGAATTAGGGGTTCAGGGTGTGGGAGGGAGCTCTGGGCTGGGGCAAGGACTAGGGGTGCAGGCTCTGGGGTGGGGCCAGGGATTAGGGATTTAGGGCACAGGAAGGGGTTGCAGGTTTAGAGGGGCTCAGGGCTGGGGATTGGGGCACGGGGCTGGAGCACAGATTTACTTCTGGCGGCTCACAGTCAGCGGCACAGCCGGGGTGAAGAGGCAGGCTTCCCGCCTCTCCTGGCACTGCAGACCGCACTGCGCCTCGGAAGTGGCCAGAAGCAGGTCCGGCTCCTAGGCGGAGGCACGCAAGCAGCTTCACACGACTCTTGCCCGCAGGCACCACTCCCCCGCCCCCAGTTTCCATTGGCCTGTTCCCGGCCAATGGGAGTGCAGAGCTGGTGCTTGGGGTAGGGGCAGCGTGCAGAGTCCGGTGGCCCCCCCACCTAGAAGCTGGACCCACTGCTGGCTGCTTCTGGGGCGCAGCGTGGTGTTGGAACAGGTAGGCACTAGCCTGCCTTAACTGGGTAGCACCACCGACGGGACTTTTAACTTCCCGGTTGGCGGTATTGATCAGAGTGACCCAGTGCCTGACATGCCACGACCCAGTACTGGGTCGCAACCCAAACTTTGAAAAACACTGATATAAACTATATGTTATACTGTACTCCTGATTACTTGCAGAGTTGAGTTTCATGCATACAGAATATCTATCATGTCACAAGATTGCCTGTTCCAAGTAGCATAGCAATATTACTGAAGTCGCTTGAGAAGACCCCACTGATAAAGAGTTTGTTCTTCTTATGGAAGAACAGATAGTGAAGAAAAGACTCAAGGAGAACCTCTCTCTAGTGAAGAGGAGGCTCAAGCAGACCTAAATAATGTCAACACTGTAACTATTCATCCATAGATGGCAACGAACTGGAGTTGAGATGGAAGGAAAACAATTATACCTAAAGAAATGGCAGCCTATATCTTACTGGAAGCAGATTACAGTTTATACTGTAACTGTATAACCAATTTGGTAGAAAAAAAGTGAGATTTGGTTTAGTTTGCTAACTATCTATCAGTCTCTCACAGGAAAAGGTAGTCTCATCCTAATAAGGCAGAGCTGTCTGCTAGCCACATAGTCTGGATGCCTTATGTATGAAATAATGCAAGCCATTAGGAGAGCTGTTTCAGTATGACTGAGGAGCCGTATCATCTTTCCATCAATAATGAAGTATGATCATCTTTGCAGGATTATTCATGATGAGCCATACGCAAATGCTTTGCTCATATGCATGCTATATCTGAGTTTCATGTTACAAGAGAAGCCACTTAATGTCCTGGCTTACCCTCTTGCATTCCTCCAGTGTGAAAGAGCAGTGAAAAAGACCAGCCATTATGTTTGTGTAGTAATCAATTTGCTGCACAGGGAATATAAAGTAATAGCATATGTTTGATGTCTTTTTGCCTAGTAATAAATTTGCCAATAATCCAGTAACTATGGGACTCCTCTGGGATGTGGGAGCTCTAGGTTCAAGTCCCTGCTATACCCAATTCAGAACAGGCTAATAACTAGGCTATGGCTATTACAGAGTACGTGGGTTTCAGAGTACTGTTTTTTTAGCAGAAATTTCATCCTGCACCTGAGAACCCTTTTCTAATGAAAATTTTGTCAAAACTGGTACATTCAGAGGTCACAGTACTGTGACCTCTGGATGGCAGAGTGCCCAAATCTTTGCCTCATTCAGAGCTGAAAATTTGATGGACAAACTGCCAAATGCAGGATCCACGTGAGGCAATGTCCCAGCCTATACAAAGCCATTCCTGTTGGTCCCATAAAACAGCAACAAAGGTAGAAGTTTGAAGGATGCTTTTAGAAGTGCCTTTAATAATGAGTGCATATAGAGCTAAGACAGGTTATGTTACCTCATCTAGAGCCCTCCTTCTCATTTTTGTAAGCTACCTAACAGATGTCAGGTGGTAATGACCTTGTCCATTTTCTACTAAGCTAGGCATTCATACCAGTGGCCTAGAGGTTGCAATCTAGTCTGTTTTAGAGTGGTAGCTGCATTAGTCTGTATCAGCAAAAACAACGAGGAGTCCTTGTGGCACCTTAAAGACTAACAAATTTATTTGGGCATAAGCTTTTGTGAGCTAGAACCCACTTCATCAGATGCATGGAGTGAAAAATACAGGAGCAGGTATACATTAAAGAATGGGGGTTGCTTTACCAAGTGTGGGGTCAGTCTAACGAGATAAATCAATTAACAGCAGGCTGCCAAGGGAGGAAAAATAACTTTTGAAGTGGTAAGAGAGTGGCCCATTACAGACAGTTGACAAGGTGTGAGTAACAGTAGGAAGAAATTAGTATTGGGGAAATTAAGTTTAGATTTTGTAATGACCCAACCACTCTCAGTCTTTATTCAGGCCTAATCTGATGGTATTCAGTTTGCAAATTAAATTAGTCTGTAGTTCATTACCAGTTCTTTAAGCCATGTGGTCCTATGTGAAGAAAGTCAAAAGCTGCAATGATGTTACAGAGTATTGTAGGCTATGTCACTTGGTTTAATTTGCAAGTATACATTTTTCTTTAATTTTGCTCAATTTTGTGGGAAAATATGAAATTTACCAGAAGATAACTCACTGAAAACATCAAATCTGTTATGTCCTACCACATTTCAATTAATTTAGACTAAATTTTTTTTTAAATATTCAAAATAGTTACTATTGTACTGCAGTTATAAAGCACAGTGTGCTAAGAATCATAACCCTATTTTTCTGTTTAGCCCACAAAGAAAAATTCAGTATTTCATATTTCAGAGTGAGAGTCACATAAACACTGCAGTTGATTAAACAGAGTAATTAGATTACATTCCCTTATTTTGCTGTTTCAAGGATCCATCAAGATTCGTTTAGAGTAGACATCTACAATTCCCATGGAATTCAAACCTATAACTTAGAGATCTCTCACCACTGCTTAAAGAGAAGCCTGATAATAAGAAATACTTCAAGTAATCTCACTTCCAATAGTGTCACTGAACTCTAGAGTTATCTCTTTACGTAAGAGAAGCTATGACTATATGACATAGGAACTAATGGTACGGCAATTGTTTCTAATCTAATTTTAAGATAGGAATAATTCTTATTATTACTACTACGATTATTTAAATTTGGTTCTAGTGTACTAGGTAATTGTTAAGTGCCTAGTATCTATGCACATTAGAAATGCCTAATATACTAGGAGAGCAATTTTGTGGAGCTGTTGATGGCTACATAGAATGAGTCTGTATTTACGGAGATTTACTCCAGTTCTATTAACAAAAATAATTACATTTAAAAATGCTTTTTTACACTTTCTGGTAAAGCAGCAAGACTTTGGCTTCAGACTGGAACAGAAGTGAAATGAATCCATATCTCTGCATGCCTGTCTAGATGGTACCAGTATAGTAATTTTCTGCTAGAGCAGGCGTCGGCAACCTTTCAGAAGTGTTGTGCCGAGTCTTCATTTATTCACTCTAATTTAAGGTTTCGCGTGCCGGTAATACATTTTAACGTTTTTAGAAGGTCTCTTTCTATAAGTCTATAATATATAACTAAACTATTGTTGTATGTAAAGTAAATAAGGTTTTTAAAACGTTTAAGAAGCTTATTTAAAATTAAATGAAAATGCAGAGTCCCTCGGACCGGTGGCCAGGACCAGAGCAGTGTGAGTGCCACTGAAAATCAGCTCACGTGTGCCATAGGTTGCCTACCCCTGTGCTAGAGTGTAGCAGACACCCTGGTTAAGTCTAAAGATGAGCAAATTAGCTCTTTTATGTCACGATGCTAAACACAAGTATGCAGCTCATGTTACATATCACAAGTCAACTAGCCATTCCCACCTTCCATATTTTTAAAATTTAAGTAGGCAAGTGCTTCTTCATTTGTAGTAATAAAAGTTTACCACTAATATTCTTCTACTTGTGGACCATGGTATCTCTGTGCATCAGACTGTACTATTTGATTGTATGTATACTTCTAAAAATGTTTGTTGAACAAATATAGGAGACATGTGCCTAAAGTAATCCAAGGATCAGGTATATCCGTTCGGTACATTATTCAATGAAACCACTGCTGAAAGGTTGCTGCCTTCTCCTCTCTCTCTACTACCGAAGTGAAGAACACAGCCAGCAAAAACACTGTACTATACACTACAATTCTGAAACACCATTTTCCAGAATTTTTTACCCTCATCTGTCATCAGAACTGCCAGCTTGTAGGAACTTTTGGAAGGAGACCTTCTTCCATCTCTCTCACTCCCCTCCCCCCACACTACTTTTCCAACCATGTTAGCAAACAAAATCTAGTTGGTGTAGAAGGGCAAAGACACAGAAGAACCTATTTTTTTAAATATTTGGGGTTTTGTGTCTATCTCAAACCTGATTTTGGTCTGCTCAGGAGGCCTAATTCTATTCTCATTCACACCAATATAAAAACTGGACTAACTCCACTAAATGGAGTTAGTCCAGTTTTTATATTGGTGTCACAGAGCAGAATTTGCCCTAGTGCCTCTAAACAAAATATAATGACATAGTGGAATGGCTGCTGCAGTGCCAGGAGAGAGATCAAAGGAATAGCTGATAATGATTCCTTAAGCAGAATACCATCACCTCCTTCCCTTACTCCTGCAAAGCAAGTGCCAGTTGGTAACTGGAGCAGACAGAGTATATTTAAAGTTGATGCACAAGCAGTAATACTAGTGCAAGATTTCTGGAGTCTCTGAACATTTATTCTACCCAGAGCATTTTAATAAATTTGATAGCAGCAGATATATATATTGTGTAAACTGTTAACACTCCACAATCCTCTCCATTTTTACAAACAGCGGGGAGCTGAAATCCATGGAACTTGCTGGGACAGATGGAACTCGCTGGGTGGCAGACCAGATTCTGCAGCCTGCTCATTAGACCTCATAAATGCCCCTCTACAGGAGCTTCTTTGGTATCCCAATCCCTAGTTTGGCAGGAGGGGCAGAATTATCTTCACAGCATGCTTCTCTTACCCAGACTCACAATGCAATATATCCAATTAGAACATAGCCAATTAAAAAGAGAGGGAAAACTTTAGATAGACAGAATGTAATAATCCAAATGTATTTCAGCTGGAGAATGGGGTAAACACCCCAATCTGATCAAGACTCATGTTTCATCTAAAGGGCAGAAAGCTTCACATTAAAAAAAAATATTTTTTTTTGTCTATTTGACAATTCACTAATGAATAAAAACACTGTATGTTCAACCATGTTTTGTTGATCTGAAAAACAATGGAAAATGGCTGCTCTTTTTGCAAACCTTTCAGTCCTCCATTTATTGGTACATCTTTAATTTTATTACAAAAATGCAGGGAAACCAATTAAAGATAATATTAAAATGACAATCTTTAGAGATAAACAAATAGTATCCTTGAAATATTCTACATCAATAACATTTTATAAACATAACATCTTTTTAAAAAAGGATAGAAAAACACTGCTCAGTGCATGAAAGGTGCCAGAGTTTTTAGTTGGCATTTACACAATGCATGCTTTTCTGATGAGAGTGGTGAGACAATGAGATGCTAATATCAGGCCATAATACGCCAGTGATGTAAAAGGTCTGTGATATTCTGGATCCTGAATCTTAACTGCCACTGTACACTTTCACAATGGCACAGAGAGGAGTGTAGCTTAAGACAAAGTGGTAACCATCCAGTTGGCAAAAGAATAAGATGAGTGATGGCTACCGATGTGCTGGGTAGCAATGCATTCTCTGGTGCTGTTAAATTATTCTTCATGGCATCAGCAATCCAGAGATGGCTTTGTTTGCCTGTTATAGCTTTTTGCAGAAGCTAGAATAAGCTAACAAATGCTAAGTAAGTCAGAGAGAAAAAAATACTCAACATATTCAGAAATGCTGCTTGGAAGCACAACAACTGGGGTTTCTTTTCAAAAATAAAAAGAGGAATAATACTTTGCATTTATATATACTTTGCATTTCATCTGAGGACTGCAGAGCACTTCACAAGCATTTACTATTTAAACCTCATGAGTCCTGCATGATGGGGAATCATGAAGCACAATGCCGCCTAGTGTTTCCACGTGGAGAGCGTGGGCCAAGCTTGGGCCTAAAAAGCACTGTCTGGTCCTAAATTGTTTCAATTTTGATTCAGTGGGGAAGGGCCCCTGTTGCATTGACACAAAATTGTTCTATTCCAGAGTTAGGGTCCATAAACTAATGTATGAATTTTAAAAGCAAGCAGTAAACGCCACACTTCACTTTTCTTCATAAACCTCCTTCCTACCCACCTCTCCACATAAGCAAAGGGACCAAAATATGACACAGCTTTCTTTCAGCCCTAGGCTTTCCACACAAACCTAGGAGTTTTCTACACAACAGACATTATCATTACTCTAACAGCTAACTCCAGGCTATTACTCTTGAAGACCCACACCAAAATGAAACAATGGAACAATGTGATGCCTCCTCAGGAACAAGAGAAAAGCTGGAGAAAACATAAGAGCAAAACCACTTACCAACTGAAAGGAGATACAGACTGTCTCAGTCGGCCGCATTATGACTGCTGCTCAAGTATTGCTCTTACATTTAAAGGGCCCAGCTACTTCAGGAGAGCACGACAGGAAATATCCTCTACACAAGATGTAAAGATGCTATGTGCATCCGAAGAAGTGGGCTGTAGTCCACGAAAGCTTATGCTCTAATAAATTTGTTAGTCTCTAAGGTGCCACAAGTACTCCTGTTCTTTTTGCGGATACAGACTAACACGGCTGCTACTCTGAAACCTCTACACAAGAGTAAACCCAAAATAGAGAGTACAGTGATGACAACAAAATGAAATTATTTAGATTAATTAGAAGGACTAACTTCAGTCTTCCTGATAGCCACTGAGATTTTGACCCCTGAAGTCCAGCATTTTGTACACAAAGCATAATTATGCCAGTGTTTTGTAGTATTTTGATGTGGATTTACACACAAGTTCATACAATGGAAATCCAGCTTTCTTTTTGCTGTCCTTCACTGTCTGTGTTTTAAACATACCATCATGTTCTCCTGAGTAAGAATCATTGTATCTAGCCTTCTCTGCCCTCTCTTCTGAAGGAAGTGTGTTTACGTATGTTGTGGGTAAATAGATGCCTCAAGCTATTTGAGCCATTCCCTTCTAAAAGTGGAATTTATATTCATTTGAAATATTTCTGTGGTGCCCATCACCATGGAATCTAGAAATTATCTTCTGATAATGCTACTCTGAAATTTCCATGCTTTTTTGGAGCAACAGCATTCTTTCCCTGTTTGAGGTAAGTAGTGGGTTTTGCTTTCCAGTTTCCCACTGAATCATGCTCCAAATGCATTCAATTTAACAGACAGTATTTTGTACAGGAAATGGAATCCACCCCTTCAGATGCTCTATAAAGGCAATTGCTCAATTAATCAATAAAGTTCATTTTCACTCCCTAAAGCAGCCACCCACCCAAGCAGATGTTCAAATACACTCACTCTAAAACCGGAAACCCACTCTGATGCAAATGCCTCTCACCAACTGTCAACCCACAGTTAAAGTTGGAATTAATGATGTATCCTTGTTTTGCTGTCCATAACAGCATGACTGGAGAATGAATAATCTATTTCTTTTCTTTTTAAAAACAGCACAATTCAGTTCTAAAACATTCATTTTTATTTTTTTATTGCCATAAACATTTTTCTATAATATCATTTTCCTAATGAGCCAAATTCAGACAAAAGAATGGTTTCATTTGTGTGACCAAAATGTGTAAAATACATCTCCTCTGACTTCGGCCCAAAGATCAAAGAAAACTCCTCTTTGGATATGTCTACACTGCAATTAAAAACCCACGGCTGGCTTGTGCCAGCTGACTCAGGCTAAGGGGCTGTTTAGCTAAGGGGCTGTTTCAGATGTTTGGGCTCAGATTGGAGGAGCTCGAGCTCTAGGACCAGTGCTTGGGCTATAGCCAAAGCACAAAAGTCTGCACTGCAATTAAACAGCCCTTTAGCCCGTGTCAGCTGCTGTGGGCCAGCCGTGGGTGTCTAATTCCAATGCAGACATACCCTTTGTGTCGCTTACATTCCACTTCATAAAAGAGATGCCACTTCCAAAGGGGAAAGAAAGTTTGTCCCTCAGAAAAGCCTGCGGAAATACCACAGTCTTATCATTTCAGCTTATTCTTAGGTAAACTTAACTACCATTGATTTACAGTATAAGACATATGGATCAATCAATATATAGAGGAGTCATTCAAATCCTCATTTTGAGTAGTGCATGTTACATCAATCAGGTCAGAAATGCCTGCAAATGTACACTCTTTTTACATATGCTGCCTACTTTGGACGTAATGAGAGCTGGGTAAAAAAATTGTCCAAAACCTTTTACAGAAAAAAATGTAGATTCAGTGATACTGAAACATTTCATGAATTTATGTTGATTTCACTGAATTGTATTGGTTGAAATCTTCCCCTCTTCTTCCCTCCCTCAAAATTGAAACATTTTGTTCTGAGATTTTTGAAATGAACATTTCAATTTGTAACTAAAGTAACTTTTTGTCTGGAAATTTCATTTAATTAAAAAAAATGTTCAAAATAAAACATTTTGTTTGACCTATAATTATTTTTTCTCCCTGACTTTTTGATTTGCTGAAATATTTTAAGATTTTTGCTTTGGTTTGGCCTGACCAGGATTTTTTTTAAATGTATTTTTGCAAGAAAACAAAAAAAAATCTTTTATTTGCCCAGCTCTTGTAATTATAAATGATAACATTTAATAATATAGGATATAAAAGGGACTAGAAGCCTGATTCTAATCTCACTTACATGTGTGTCACTCCATTGTCCTAAGTGAGCTACTCTAGATTTATGTTGAGGTGAAGTCAGATTCAGGTTCTATATCTATAGAGTCATATCCTGCTCTTATTTATGTGCTGTGCAATCTCACTGACTTCAGTGGATTTGTTTTGGGTGTAAATCAGGATAAAATTTGCCCCATAGTTTTCATTTTCTTGGGGCCACACACAAGCGGCAGGGCACTGACTTCCTACATCCAAAACTTCTAGAACTTTTTAGCCAGGTAGAAATTTACTTTTCTCCCCATAGCTATGGCATCCTTAATGCACCCCTCAGAGTCACTACCCCACCCACATCAGTTTTTTTCCTTCTAATTATCACTTATGCATAAAAAAGTTCAGTTAATCCCCGAAGTTCAGCTCCTTAGTTAAAAATGTATTGGCATTTTTGTGGTCTGTTTGTATTTGTGGCAATTGTACCTGTGGTATTTCCCCATTACAAACACGTACAATGGACCCTGAACTAAAATGTGAAAGAGCAACCTCTGCTCTGTACCCTAAAAGGACATGACCCCCAACCTACACTTTGTATGGGGGTAATTTTGGGTCACGTTCTTTTGGCTGTAGACTACAGACTACTAAATTGCTGCTCATGGTAAATGACATTTTTTCTCTTTGGCAACTATTAATGGTAAGGAGCATTGCCTAGCGTTCACTCAGTCACACAAGTATTTTACTTATAGTCATGTCTATGACATTCCTCACCACATTATCTTTCTTTTTTCTCATACAAAGTTTCTTCTGGTGATTAATTCTTCTGGGGCTACCTGGCTGTCTTTCAGATGAAAAACAGTCATGCTGCTGTAGCTGCATCCTGTTACTGTCTGTAGTCAGGCACTTCCTCCCCATTGCCTGCACTTCCTAAAATGATTGACAACAAGAAATTAAATAAAACCAGGGATTATGCAAAGTAACCGTGTAGCCCCTTCTAATTCCATCACCACCTATGACAAAGTTTCCAAGATTCTGCCTGCTCAGGCCAACTCTTTGGCCCTTTCTCCTGACTATGCCCTCATACCAAGGCCCTGATGCACCTTCCACTGCTTTCCAAATTCCATGCAGTTCTGTTTCCTCTAGAAATCCCCTTACATGGACAGGGAAACCAGCAGCTGAAGAATTAACTTCCAACAGTGAGAGGGGGTTGGTGTTTAATGTATTCAGTCATTGCTGTGGCCTGCTGATACTTGAATTAGGGCTCATTCATGCTGGAAACATGCGTTATGTTTCAAATGTGTTAGCTGGTCAAAGTTAACGTTTTTAAACATTACTGTCCTTGTTGACAGTAAAGGCTATGTGACATTTAACCTTGTGTTAGAACCTTTTATAACAGGAAGCATTTTTTCAGTACAGACAGGCCTTAGACAGAATTGCAAATGAAGAATAATGCTTTGGTTGGAAAGTTATATGGTGCAAAGCCTCTGGAAATACTAGGCCTTGTGCTGCTACATAGATTGTAGGCTGCCATTGATGCAGGAAATAGAGCAAGAAGAGGTTCTCATGCTATCTTCATTTCAGTTCCTGCTTTTGGTTCAATTGGCACTGTCATGATGATAATCTCTCCCATGCCATTTCCTTCTAGTCCAAAACCAGACAGTACCAGCTAGCTAGAGAAGTGAATTAAAGCTATAAACATTTGAAACAACAAAAGGTAAAGCAATAGCCTCATTCCTCCCCACTAGGTGTCTCTGGCAAAGTCATTTTCCTTCATCTCACATAGAGTAATTGGGGCTAGATTCACAAGGGAGACACAGGAGCCTAACTGCCTCTTTAGCTGCCTAAGGCCAACCCTTAGGTGCCACTAGCATTCACAAATCACCACTCAGATGCTGCCTAACCCAATAGGCAACTAAGCTGCCACTGGTAAAGTTCCTTAGGCACCTAAATTTCTGCTTGTGGCACAGCTGCTAAGTCCTGCCCCCCACTAGCTGCTTGGAACCCTATCTCAGATCTAGCTAACACCCAGCAGGATTCACAAACTGGACAGCTGGAGGGCCCAACCCGGCAGCCAAGTTCTGAGCACATCTAACCTGCACAAAAGACAGCTGGGGAGGAAGAGATGTTCCCTTTATCTCCAATAGCTTAGTGGTTAGGGCACACAGCTAGGAGACTCAGGCTCAAATACCCACTCTGCCTGATTCGGAGCAGGGACATAAACCCTGGTCTCCCCCTTCCATGTAAGTGCCCAAAACCCTGGGCTATTGGGTATTCTGGGGTGGGAATCTCTCCTATTGAAGCAATTCCACATTGTATGAACTACTTGACTAGTCACTGGAGTAGGGACTGTACCCCAAATCTCCTCCCTCCCAGGATAGTGCTCTTGCCACTGTGCTATAGTGTAATTCTCACTCTTTCTGGTCTAGTAACTACTTAAGTATTTCATACAAAATGGAAGTTTCAACAGGAGAAATTCAGCAAGCACCACCCCAGTGATCAGGACTCTCACCTGGGAAGTAGGAGAACTGGGTTCAAGTCCCTCTTCCGAATCAGGCAGAGTGGAAATTAGAATCTGAATCTCCTCTGTCAGTTGAGTGCTCTAACCAGTGGACTATTGGGTATAAAGGGAACCCCCCAGTTTTTCATGAGAAAGGAATGACCTAGCTTAGGCGCCTAGCTCCAGGAGGGTTCACGACTGAGAATCCTGAGCAGAGCTAGACGCCTTCCTCTAATCCAGAGTTAGGTGTCCAACTTCCTAATAACTAAGGCTGCCAGTCTGTCATGGAGGTAACAGATTCTGTGACTTCTGCAGTGGCTGGAGCTGGCTCAGTGGCTGCCCAAGGCCAGCAGCAGCAGTTTGGGTGTGTGGGAGGGGACTCAGGGCAAGGGACAGGGGGTTGGGGAGTGCAGGGGGTGCTTACCTCAGAGTGGGGGGCTCCCTAGCTCCCACTGGCATGGCCCCCCTGCAGCTCCTAGATGGTGGAGGGGGCTCTCTGTCTCTGGCTGCGGTTCCTGGCCAATGGGAGCTGTGGCAGCTGGCACTGGTGGTGGGAGCAGCGGAGCCTCTGCCCTGGCCCCTGCCTCCCGCCCTAGAAGCTGCAGGAATGCGGAGCTGGGTAGGAAGCCCCTGCCAGCCTTGCCAAGCACCAGCAGGGGTCCCAGGCCACAGCCACCCACACAAGTTTTAGTCAGGGCAGGTATTTTTAGTAGAAGTCATGGACAGGTCACAGGCCCATGAATTTTTGTTTATGGCCCATGACCTGTCCATGACTTTTAGTAAAAATGCCCGTGACTAAAATGTAGTCTTACTAATAACTAACTAAGGTGGCTTCCCAGTCAGCATGCTGGCTTCTGTGAATCCCATTCTTAGCTACCTAACTCTCCCCAGGCATTGAACGCATAGGGAGACTGGCAACTAACTCAGGCTTGTGAATTCCACTGAGTGGCAGGGCACCTTAGGCCTTGTCTACACTGGCAAGTTTCTGCACAGTAAAGCAGCTTTCTCCATTGTAACTCCTGAGGTGTACACACTGCCAAGCCACTTAGTGCGCAGAAACTGTGCATTTGTAGCGCTGTAAAAAAAACACCCTGAGAGACGTACAGCTTTCTGCGCCAGAGGTACAGCGCCACGGTGCCAGTGTAGAACCTGGGTCAATTACAGCACTACAATTGGCCTCTGGGAGGTGTCCCACAATGCCTGTTCTTGCCTCTCTGGTCATCGGTTTGAACTCTACTGCCCTGCCCTCTAGTGACCAACCGTCATCCCCACCCTGTAAATTCCTTTGGAATTTTGAAAGTCCCCTTCCTGTTTGCTCGGTGATGTGTGCAGTGGTGTCAGCGCATCTTTCCAGGTGGCCACGTGGGGACAGGAATGATTATCAGCTCCCTCCTACAGTGCTCGCTCTCCCCAAGAGCCACGTGCCCAGTGTACAGTAGGCTTTGGGAACACTGATTTCTCCTGCCCCTGCAGCTACTCACCATTTTGGGGGTCTTGTGGCTCATATGTGCTTGCCTGGGGTCAGCCAGTTTGTGATAGGTGTGTGAATACTGGTTGTGTTTTAAAGCACTGAATAAGTGTTGTTTGTGTTGCAAACACTACTGCTTCTGTAAAATGTTGCATTTAAACAGAGATGACCTTTGGAGCCCAGGTTCCCTCTTTGTTATCACTGGCAGAACGGCTGCGCAGAATTAGAAAGCGGCCACGAAGAACTAAGCAGGACTTTCTGCATGAGGTTATGATGCACTCCGCGGCCAAAAAACAGGAATTGAAGGAGTGGCAAGACAGCAAAAAGAGGGACCGAAAGGCGAACATGGCATGCCAGAACGAAGCCACGGAGCAGCTCTTAAACGTTATGGCGTGCCAAGCAGACACGCTCCAGGCAATACTAGCACTGCAAACCGAGCAGCTCCGTGCCCGCCCTCCCCTGCAGCTGCTCTCGCAAAACTCTTTCCCATGCGCCCCCCAGACACTGCCAGCACACTCTTATCAACCTCCTGGCTCCACTCTGTACCCACGGCATTCCACTCCTCCCCCGTCACAGTCCAGCACTGCGGACTCTGAGTACCCACTGCACTCAACACCCGTCCCTCTGCAGTTTAGCCCTTCTGAAGTACAGTACCCACTGCACTATATTCCAAAGGAGAAGATTAGATATGATCCCTGTGGACATACACAAATCCTTAACTGTCCCAGGACCCCACCTCCTCCTGGGACCTTCCTTTCCCCCATCCTCCTCAGTGCTGATGTGGTTTTTTTGTTTCTCTCTCCCCTCCTGTTGTTGTTTTTTAATAAAAGAATTGTGTTGGTTTGAAAGCAATCTTTATTCTATTAATTGAAAGTAAACAGAGCCTGCAGAGCAACAGACAATTTTCTTAAACCTTCATAGTGCATTGTCTGTACCAATCCCAATCACCTCCTAGCATTACAAGCACTGCACTCCCGAGCATAGCAACAAATATTAGTGGCTTTCAGCTTCAAATTGCTGCCTCAAGGCATCCCTGATCCTTATGGCCCCACACTGCACCCCTCTGATAGCCCGGGTCTCTGGCTGTTCAAATTCAGCCTCCAGGTGCTGAGCCTCAGCGGTCCAGCCCTGAGTGAAGCTTTCACCCTTCCCTTCACATATATTATGGAGTGTATAGCACGCGGCTATAAGCATAGGAATATTGTCATTGGCCAGGTCCAGCCTCCCATATAGGCAGCGCCAGTGGGCCTTTAAACAGCCAAAAGCACACTCCACAGTCATTCTGCACTTGCTTAGCCTGTTGTTAAACCGCTCCTTGCTGCTGTCAAGGTGCCCCGTGTATGGCTTCATAAGCCATAGCATTAAGAGGTAGGCAGGGTCTCCCAGGATCACAATGGGCATTTCGACTTCTACAGTGATCTTCTGGTCTGGGAAGAAAGTCCCTGCTTGCAGCTTCCTGAACAGGGCAGTGTTGCAAAAGATGCATGTGTCATGCACCTTTCCAGACCAGCCTACATTAATGTCAGTGAAACGCCCACAGTGATCCACAAGCGCCTAGAGAACCATAAAGAAATACCCCTTCCGATTAATGTACTCAGTGGCTAGGTGGTCTGCTGCCAGAATTGGAATATGCGTGCCATCTATCACCCCTCCACAGTTAGGGAAGCCCATTTGTCCAAAGCCATCCACAATGTCACGGATGTTGCCCAGAGTCACGGTCTTTCGGAGCAGGATGCGATTAATGGCCCTGCACACTTCCGTCAACACGAGTCCAACAGTCGACTTTCCCACTCCGAACTGGTTAGCAACCAATCGGTAGCAATCTGGAGTAGCCAGCTTCCACTGTGCAGTTGTCACGCACTTCTCCAACGGCAAGGCAGCTCTCATTCTCATGCCCTTGCACCGCAGGGCTGGGGCAAGCTCATCACACAGTCCCATGAATGTGGCTTTCCTCATCTGAAA